GCCTGTTTGGATTTGTTTCTGTGTGTTAGGTAGGTCTCCTAGGACTTCTAGTCTTTTGGATGGTCTCTGGTGCAGGCCAATGTCAGACACTGTTTGTGACTGGCCTTGAGTACCCTGTCTGAAGTTTTCTGCACTTCACAGCTTGTAGTTTCCTCTGCTGGGGCTGGGTGTGTTTGGACAGGATGAAGATATGCGCCAAGGTCTGCTTTTCCAAGCCCTGGGTCCAGAAGCAAATCAGGCAAAGACTGAAAACACCCAGATGCTGTTTTTCAGTCTTATAATGAGCCTTAGGTTGTAGAAACTCCACAGGGTGAGGCGAGAGGTTTTACAGTAGGGTGGGACAATTGCTTTCCCCCAGGCAAAAGCTGCTTGGAGGGTAAATGCCTGCCTGAGAAAGATGTTCTCTGCTATATGGGAGAATTACTCAGCACAGGAATCCACATGGCTGCACTCTGAGCTCTATTCCCCAACCAGCATCTCTGGATTCTTCTTACACAGCTCTAGTCCTATCTGCCCTCCCTCTCCTGTAGTCCAAGTTGAGTGGCTGCACATGAAACTGGACCTTTAAGAGGGTGCCTTCATTTCTGGCTGTCTCTCCCTGGAAGACAGAAACCCGGCTGCTTTTAACAGCCAGATGTTATGTGGGCACCTTTCTCAGTTCTGGTCATCTTGGCTGGGAAGCCCATTCTGGGGTTTAGGCCCCAGAGTCCTCAGTGGGAACCCCCCACAGCTGAGATATCCCTCTGGACCTTCAGCTGTTGCCTGTGGGAGCCCAGCCATCCCTCTGGTGCCACCACACTTCCTGCCGGTCTCTATGCAGTCTCCACTTTAGATCTTTGGTTTTGAGGGTACTTTCTAGCTAGTCTTCAGTTGCACTTAATTATTCAGGATGTTTTTTCTATATTTTGTAATTCCAGTTTGGTCCTAGGACAGCATCAGTGTAGCTTCCACTCAGTCTGCTGCCATGCTGGAATCTCCAATTTTTTAGATTTTTAAAATCCGGTATTTCCTGTAATCTAATCTATAAGCAAGCACTACAAGGCAGCAGTTAGAGAGAAGATGATTCCTTCTGCACTCTACCTGTACTGGTCTCTTCAATAAATCAATGTCATAAAAATAGAGATTGTGCTATATTCAAAGAGACTTAAGGGACCGACAGTTTGATACAGTGCATGGTCTTGAATAGGATACTGGCTTGGACAAATCAGCTGTAAAGGAAATTTTGGGGTTCAGGAAAATTTGGAAGTAGCCTGGTTGTCATAAGAAAAAAAATGTACTGAAATGGAAAGGTAGAGAATATTGATGAGAAAAATCTGGTAACCAAAAAAAAAAGTAGGTATAAATATATACATAGAAAAAAATCTGGAAGTATATGCAATAAGGTGTTAGTAGTGGCACTTTCAGGTGATAGGAAGATGAGATTTTCATGTATTTTTTGCTTGTTTTTCCCTCCTAATTTTTTGTAATGCACATTTCCTGTTTCTGTGTTAATACAAACTTATTTTAAAAACTCTATACTAACCTATCCTGTACAGATGGGTTGTTTTAGTATATTTTACAAGTTTTTTTCTTGATAAGGATTTATAGTTTTTAGGATATTTTTTTGAACTGTGTCTTTAGATTCTACATCTCTTTTCTTTAATTTTTTTTTTATTATGGAATATACCAAACACATACAAAAATAGATAGAATAATATAATGAATTTTCATGTGCCTATCATTCAGCTTCAGCAATGGTCAATTATGCCTCATCTAATTCATCTCTACCCACCATTCATCTCCATTATTTTGAAGCAAATCCCACATCATATCTTTTCATTCATAAATAGTTCATTATTTATTTCTGAAAGATAAAAACATAAAAAAACACAATACTGGTATCATACCAAACAATAAATAAAATAATATATCCTTAATATATCAAATATGCAGTCATTGCTCACCTTTCTCCAGTTGTCTCATAAGTGATTTTCTCTAATTATATTGTTTCATTCAGAGTACAAATAAGTTGCTGACATCACAACTGGTATGTTCATTAAGCCTTTAAATTTACAAGTTTCTTCCTTCTCCTCCACAGTTTTTTCCCTTTCATTTTATTTGTTGAAGAAATTATCTTTATTTTTTATAATTTCTCACATTCTGCATTTTCCTGCATGTTCTGTCAACCTTTGAGTGCCTAAGGCAGGAACTGTGCTCTACAGTGCATCTAAGCAGGGCTCCCACTTAATGCTTACAATGTAACATATTTATGGGGTGTTTGTAAAATCTGTACATTGATAGGGTCGATTTCTATCCTGAAGTCCTTTGAGTTTTTTTTTAAATTTTTAAACTTATCATTTTCTTTATCTTTGGAGAGGGAAAAAGGGGTGAAAATATAGTTGCAGTATTTAAGAGCTGAAGAGAAAATGAATCTTTTATAATACCAACAACTCTACAATAAAGAACAACCACAGATCTCATCAATTTTATAACTCATGCTGGATCAAGAATTTAGGTTTAGGTTCTCCTCTATGTATCTCAATTAATTCAAACCCCATACTCTCTTCAAAATACAAAGGTAAACTCAATTGCTATTTCCTAAGTAGAAGACCAAACACCAAATGGACTCCTTCCTTCCAACATTTTTTGTTATAAGATTTCGCCAAAGTAGAAATCTAATACTTAAATATGAAATCTCCTGGCCAAGAAGAAAACTACAGCTGTTATGGGTACTACCCTACGTAGTCAATCACTGTATGCATTACATATTAAATTAAACCTAGCACTGAGTATGCTTGCGCAATTGTGCAGTGAATTACTCACTAGCAGTGATGACACTAGTGATGACACTGTCTTTAGCCGAAGAGGAAGGGGGAAAAGATAGAAACAAATCGAAAGCTGACAAAGAGTTGGGTATTTTCTAACCAGAACAGGCAATTTTAAACATAGGGAATACTTTTCTTTTTCTATTTCTATTTCTATTTCCCCTATGTGGAAATAACATGAAACACTTATTTTATATATCAGACAAGAATAGAGCTAAGTAATCCAACTCTATTGCAGCATTATAAAAATCACCCCTTCACCACATGTAAGATTTAAATGCATCTGCACAAGGGTGCATGTTACATAAAATGTAAGATTGCAGCTGCCCTGCCTAGTACTTCCATTCCCTACCCACTGCTATACTAGTAGTCCCAATAGTTCTTTCGAAATAAATCATTTTTTGAAAAACAAAGCATTTAAAAAGAGAAATCAAAATGGGTACAGCCCAGCCGGGTGTGGCTCAGCGGTTGAGCTTCGACCTAGGATCCAGGCGATCAGGGTTCGATTCCCGATCAGGGCACATGCCCGGGTTGGGGGCTGCAGCCGATCAATGACTCTCTCATCATTGATGTTTCTATCTCTCTCTCTTCCTTTCCCTTCCTCTCTCTGAAATCAATAAAGATATATTAAAAAAAAATAAAAATGGGTACAATATGTGGTTACTGAGGTAATCATATAACCAACTCAAACTTTATTTAAATGTTATATTTACTTCCTGCTAATAAACCTTTATTTCACTCAAACTGAGCAATAAATCTTCCATACTGAAGTATCTTTTGCCCAATTAATTCAAAGGAAAACACCAACATGATTAGTAAAGAAAAGTGTAGGGTTTAATACATCCTTTTGTTTTTAAATATCTTTAAGGTTTAAAGTGTTTAAATTTTATAATTCCTAGTAGGAAAACATTATCTGAACAAATACCGTAGTGGCAAACCACTGTAAAATGTTATAGCTGCATTTGGGGCAGAGGGGTAGGTATTCTCTTCAAAGCACCCCAGCTGCACGAGAAGGTCAGAGGTACAGTGGTTTGTATTATTGTGACATCCATCGGGTGATCCAAGTTGCTTTTCTTTCAGCAAGGGTTTTATTTGTCAGAAGGGCATTACGCTTGACCTCCAAATTTGGCTAACAATTTACTGATGAGATTCATAACCTTTGGGTTGCTCTGATATTTTCACACGTTTGCTGGATTCTGAGCCACATCCTGGAAGGCCACCATAACTTCTGGATCCTGCATGGCTGCAAGAGCCTCTGGATCACTAAGGATTTCATTGAGCCCAGGCATTCCTCCCATTTCAGGCATTGGCTCTTTTCTAGGAAAATTACCAGGCATTCCCTCAGGAAAGCCACCTGGAAAAGAGCCAAACTGAGCTCCTTCTGATTGTCCTCTGGCTTCTTCCTCCCTCTGGGCTGTTCATGTTCTTCCTGAGCCTTCTTAACCCTTTCCATTCTTTCTTTGACCTCTCGCTCTTCCAGTTTCCACTCATACTTTCTCCTACATTTTGCAATTTTCTGGGCCCTTGGTTGAACAACTCTCAGCATTGCACTAGCATCTTCATCATAATTCAATTTACATGCAAGGGCAAGATTGTGGGCTGCTGCTTCCCAATGGCGCAGAAGTCTGTGTGCTTTCCCTCGTCACTGTGTGAGGCTGAGCTGAATCAGGATTTATTTCAATAGCTCTGTCACAGTCTCGGATGGCAGGATTTGGCTTCTGTCATTTGGTGAAGACACGGGCTCTCTTGGCATACAGAATGGCCCAGTGAGGATTCAGCTTGACGGCATCTGTGAACAAGTCAGTGGCTTTCTGTAGTTCACCATCATTTAGGGCATCAGTGGCAGCCACTTTTTTATCGCTTGCCTGATCCAGCATCTCCTCAGTTATCTCTACATTTTCATCTCCCATTTCTTGACGGGCATTGGTGTCTGGTTCAATCACACCTTCATTATCGATTTCTAGATCACTTTCCTCACTTGATGTTTCGTCTCTTTATGCCTTCCTCCACTTTCTTACTATGTGTTTTTTCTTCCTTATTTTCTTCTGATTGAGTTTTAGGAGTAGCAGGTGGTCTTTTACCTCCCATGCTCTCCACCCACTCCCTCAGGAAGCGCGTTTCCTCCGTGTGCAGAACGCGCGGATCCTGCTTAGGCATTTTCACCAAGGCCCGAAGCTCGCTCACTTCGCGGGGCCCATGGTCGGGAAGCCAGGGAGGCGGCGGCCTGGCTAAAGTGCTGCGGGATTCCAGGCCCCACCTTGGCGCCACCGTGCAGACCAGACCAGAACTCTCCTTTGAGTTTAAGATTCGTACAGCCTTGATTATTTCAATAGGAGGAAACAGCTATTGAAATAGGATACACTGGGGTGGATTTTAGAGATATCAGTTATATAAGTTTTTAGGTAGGAACTCGCGCAGATTTCCTTTTCAAAGTGAAATGAAAATTTACCCTAGAAGTACACTCTGGTTACTGGGGTTATCTGGAAATATTATTTAATTTCCTCAGAGCTTGGTCTGTAAATGTGCTCTCTAATGTGATACCTGTGTACTATTTTGGGGGTTTTAGTCAACTCCTAAGGCTGCTAAGGTCAAGATTTGCATTGACTGTGTATTGATTTTCTCTAACGATTGCAGGTTGAAGATGGCAGTGATGCAGAGACCTATGGAGAAGAGAATGATGAACAGGGAAATTACTCTAAAAGAAAGATAGTCTCTAACTGGGATCGATACCAAGATACTGAAAAAGAAGTCGGTAACGAAAGTGGAGAATCGCAGAGGGGGACAGATTTCAGTGTTCTCCTCAGCTCCGCAGGTATGAATTCCAAGTCCTCGCAACCGGTTAGTGCTATGAAAGTTGCAGAGGCACTGATGTTCTGTTTTAAATTGCATCTTAGTAACTGGCAATTCATAGATTGCCCTTTGGATTTTAAATCCAAGTAAAGGACAGTGTGTCTAATGGTTTGTAAGGAAAAAGATGGCGTCTCTTTAAGTGGAAGTCAGGGTCTCCAAGCACTGGTTGCAATGACTTCAGTCGTAGTTGAAATGGATAAAAATCTTCATAGAAGTGAAAAATGCTGAACTATGCCCCTCTCAAGTGGGCAGTCTGAGGAACTGCAGGATTTTCTTTGATTTCAGAGGAATCGGTTCTTATGTTTATAAAAAGCTTTATAGAGTTTCTAGAATATGGGTTCTTTTTTCTCTTATTTTGTAGCCAGGAATGTGCATATTAGTGGATATGCATATATTGGAGACATGTACACCTGAATACCAAAACTCTTCTGTTATGCTTTGGACAGTCTTCTCTTTCAGTAGGGTGGAAAACTCATTCCTTCTATGACCAGCTGTGTTTTTAAGATTGACTCCACCTTGAGCAATGTGCAGTGATGTGGAACCAGAGCACAGTTTCAGGAGATAAGGGAGCAGGGCTGGTTGTATAGACGGCTATTCCCTGTTGGGTGGGACATCAGAATTTGAAGGATGAATGGAGGATGAATGCCTTTCAGGGGTTAGGGATGGGAGGTGATGCGGCTATAAAAGGGCAACATGGTTGAAATGGATAAAATGGTTTGTATGCTGGGTACACAAAGCTATGCAAGTGATAAAATTGTGTAGAACTTACACAAACACAAGCGAGTGCAGATAAACCTGGGGAAGTCTGAATAAGATTGGTGGATTCTGTCAGTGTCACATCCATATCCTGGATGTGATAGTATACTGTAGTTTTATAAAATGTTATCACTGGGGGAAACAGGGCCAAGTGTGTATTTCTCTGTATTATGTCTTACAACTGTATCTGAATCTGCAATTATCTCAATAAAAGAATTGCCAGGTTAAAAAAAATTAAAGATGTGAGAAGCAGTGAAATAATATGAAAATAATATTTTCAGTTTGTTTTGAATTCCCTCTCCCCCAACTTTTGTGTTGCTTTTTTCTACCTTTTTTTTCTCTCTGCCTGTATTTTTGAGTGCCTATGCTAGACTAAGAGTCATAAAGTGATAAATTCTCTCCCAGCTTATTAGTTGGAAAGAAAGAGGTGAGTGGAGTAGTTAGTGAGTTTTAGAGTGTGAGTCAGAAGAGCAGATTCAATCTGGTGTCATTATTTTTATGGGCACACAGTGTAACCACCTTAGGTAGAGGTTTGCTGATGTCATGTAACTCATTGACTGTTCTGGGACTGGTGACTCATCTTTTTGCCAGTCAGTTGAGTATTTTTCTCTTGTTACCTGCATTTTGGCCAATTATGGGTCTCAAAGCACTTTTATTCAAGGTTGGGGAAATGTAAAATGTGTGCTGGTTAGCTTCAATTTTTATCAGCTATTCTGCCAAAAGATTTCTGGGGGAAATTGAAGTAGTGCAGTAAAATTAACATGTGGACTACCTGTTGGTTTAATTGAATCAATTGTGCAGTCAGTTTCCACGACAGTATCTGGCAATAAAAGGTACTGCAGAGTGCTCACTTGGGCAGCACACGTACTAAAATTGGAACAATACAGAGAAGATTAGCATGGCCCCTGTGCAAGGATGGCACACAAATTTGTGAAGTGTTCTGTAGTTTTGAATGTCAACTGTAATTGAAAAAAAAAGATACTGTATAAATGTTTGAAGGCGATTTAGAATTCTAATCTAACTCAGCTGTTATGTGCATTGACTTATGATTTTGGTTATTTATTTTAGCTTTTATTTATAACTTAAAACTTGGCATGGTTTGGGTCTCATAGGTTTTTGTTTTTTTTGTGTAGTCTCTTTGCTTATTGATTTCTTAGTGGCTTGCTTATCTTTTGATATGTGTTTACATTTTCCCCCTCTCCTACTGATTTATTATTTTCTTTTCACATAGCACAAGCCTGAGAGGAGCTACCATGCTTTCTTCATATGTGCTGGAGTGGGGCTACTATATTGGTTTACTTTTGAGAGGTGGGGTTCATTCTGTGGTCTTAAAATAGTAAGAATATCCTCTAGATTGGCAGACCATACTCCTTGGAATGCTTCTAATTTCTAGTATACTGCTCTTGTTTTAATAAATAAATATAAAACCCAGGAAAAATATCGCTAGCTTGTTAGATGTGCACATGACAAACTTTCTAGATATCGCTGAATTGCTCTCCAAAGTGGAGATGAACTAGAATTCCTAGTGTTCACTGTATTCACCAATATGTAACACTGTTAGACTTTTTAATTGTAGCTAGTTGACTGAATGGTATCTAGTTGTGGTTTGTTTAACAATTATTTGAATGCCCACTATTTCCAGGTACTGTTTTAAAAACTGAGTATACTGTAGTGCACAGAACAGACAAAAACACCTGTGACACAGTTAACATTGTAGAGGCTGGAAGACACAGAAAAGAAAAGAAAAAAGAAAAGAAAAGAAAAGAAGTATATGAGATCTTAAGTGGTAGATAATTTCTCAGGATAGAAATGAAGTGGGGAGAGGCTGTCACAATTTTAGAAAGAGTGGACAGAGAAGGTCTTACTGAGAAGATGACGTTTCGAATGAAGACTTGAAGGTTGGGGAGCAGACATTGAGGATCTGTGGGAAGAGTGTTCCAGGCAAAGGGAATAGCAGGTTGAAAGACTTGGAATCTCTGAGATGAGCAGCCTCTGGAGGGTTTTGAAGAGAAGAATAATACAACTAATTTAGATTTTAACAGGATCACTCTTGCTGCCATGTGGGAGTCCCCCGAAGATGGGTGAGGGAGGGAGTGGGTAGACTAGTTGGGTTATTGAACAATTTAGACGGGTGTTGATGGTGGCTCT